TTCTTCAGATTTTGCTCAGTGAGGAAGGCAACCATGAGCCATACTCTGTTATTCCCATTGTTGGAATGGGAGGAATCGGAAAGACCACTCTTGCTCGGCTCATTTACAATGATGACAAATTGAAGGGTAGGTTTGGATTGCAAGCATGGGTTTGTGTTTCTGAGGATTTTGATGTTTGTCAAATCACAAGAGCCATCTTAGAGCATGTAACCAGGGAAAATTGTGATTTAAAAGAGCTAACTCCACTCCAAGAAAAGTTGCAAGATAAGCTTTCAAGCCAAAAGTTTTTACTTGTGCTAGATGATGTTTGGAATGAAGACTATGGATTATGGGAGAACTTACAAAGGCCTTTCCTAAAAGGAGCACCAGGAAGCAAAATAATCATCACAACTCGAAACAAGGATATTGGGAGGATGATAAGAGCAGATGACAGAGTTCGTGATTTGTCGTTGCTAGAGCATGATGATTGTTTGTCACTATTTGCTCAAATTGCATTGGGGGCAAAAAACTTTGATGAATATCCAAATCTTAAAGGTGTAGGGGAGAAAATTGTTGAAAAATGCAAAAGATTGCCATTGGCTATAAAAGCCCTTGGTGGCCTCTTGCGTGGTAAGGCAAATCTTGCTGAGTGGGAAAACATATTGAACAGTGAGATATGGGATCTACCAGATGGTAATACTAGCATTTGCATTCTTCCTGCTTTGAAATTGAGCTATAATCACCTTCCTTCCCATTTGAAGAGATGCTTTGCCTATTGTTCTATGTTTCCTAAAGATTATGAATTCGATGAAGGTGAGTTGGTTTTATTATGGATGGCAGAAGGATTCTTGCAACAACAACCACAGACAATGAAGAAAATGAAAGACCTTTGTCATCAGTCCTTTCGTGAGCTACTGTCGAGGGCTTTTTTTCAACAGTCCAGTAGGAATGAGTCATTGTTTGTGATGCATGACTTGATGGTTGATTTAGCCTTGCATGTTACTAGAGATATATGCTACACCCTTGAATCAGATGGAGATATATCAGATATGAGGTTTCAAAGAGTCCGTCATTTGTCATTTTTTTCTTCTGAATATTTAGTGTTAAAAAGATTTGAATTCTTGAAGAAAAAGAAGAATTTACGTACATTTCTACAACTGGGAAGGGATTTTGAGTCTTCGAAACTTATCCCTTCGAATGAGTGCTTCTGCAACAGCCTCTTGCAAGATTTGATGAAAGATCTAAAATGTTTAAGGGTGTTGAATCTTCAAATTTGTAGTATAACGAAGCTCTCTGATCAGATTGGAGACTTGAAGCATCTTCGATTCATTAATTTGTCTAATGCAAAGATTAAAAGTCTTCCTGAGTCAGTGGGTTATCTTCTTTACTTACAGACATTGTTGTTAAGGAATTGCCCAGAGTTTTCCCAGTTGCCTACCACTATTGGAAATTTACTTGATCTCCAACATCTTGATATATCTCAGACACCACTTTTAAAAGAGCTCCCATCAGAAATTGGCAATTTGACAAGTCTTGTAACATTGTCAAAATTTATTGTTGGAAATGCTCAGGGACCAAGAGTAAAAGATTTGAAGAACTTGTCATGTCTTCAAGGCCAGCTTTCCATTTTGGGTTTACAAAATGTTGTGGCCGCAATTGAAGCAAAGAAGGTGAATTTGTTTGAGATTGAGGGATTAGATGATTTATCCTTAGGATGGTCTTCTGATTTCCTTAACAACCGAAATGAAAGATTTGAATTGCAAGTTCTCAGCTGGTTAGAGCCTTATCATGGTTTGAAAAGATTGACAATCAATTGTTTTGGTGGGTTGGAATTCCCACCTTGGATAGGTGATCCATCATTTTCCAACTTGGAGTTCTTGAAGCTTAACAATTGTCAAAAAAGCACTTCATTACCATCACTCCAGCGATTACCACGACTCAAAGAATTGATCATTAAAGGCATAGAAGCAAATTCTCTTGATTCTTTAGTTAACGTTGCTTGTTTTTATGTTTTTTTTTCATTGATTTTGCTTTTTTTTTTTTTTTATGGCAGGCATATTTGCAATACAAACTATGATGCTTGACGAGGACAATTCTTCTTCAGCTTCGGCTTTTCCATCATTGGAGAGTTTAAAATTGCAAGATTGCCCCATACTGAAAGGAAAATTTCCAAAATGCATTTCTGTCCTTAAAAAGCTAGAGATTGCCGGATGCCCAGAGTTAATATATTCACCAATAAGTCTTCCATCACTTGAAGGGCTGTGTGTTGAAGGATGTAGTGAGGCCGTCTTGAGGAGTATGGTTGACCTCAACTCACTCAAAACATTGAGAATCAGCAGAATTTCTAAGTTGATTTGGTTGCCCAAGAGTTTTGTAGAGTCCTTGATAGCACTTGAGGTTATGGAGATTACAATATGTGATGAACTCACTTGGTTGTGGGAGGAAGGAGCCAATATGGTAAACCTCCCATGCCTTAAGAGAATGGAGATTGGCTGGTGCCCTCTGCTTGCATCCCTAACAGGGAAAGAACAAGGTTTTCTCCCCAACAGTGTTCAAATTTTGGACATATATGATTGTGGGGCACTGGAGTCCTTGCCTAGTGAGATGATGATGGAGCGACTCGAACAATTATATATAAGGAGATGTCATGCTCTCAGAATGTTTCTAAGAGGCAAGTTACCCACCATGCTTAAAATCCTCAAAATTAAAGAATGTGAAAAGCTAGAATCTTTACCAGAAGGAATATTGATGAATAATGGTGATGGATGTCAAGTGTCCCATCTTAAAGAATTAATGATTGACAACTGTCCTTGTCTGAAATCTTTTCCAACTGGCCACCTACCCAATTCTTTCAAATGCCTTATTGTCCAGGATTGCAGGCAACTGGAATTTATCCCTCAGAGAATGCTGCAGTATTATAGGGAACTTGAAGAGATTCGTCTCAATGGTGATGGTAAGATGCTTGGAGATGATTGTTCAAAACCTGAGGGACGTTATGCCCACATGTGTTATTTCCAAGAATTTTATTTGTACAGTTGTCCCCCCAATTGTTATAGCCACAGATGTTCAGGGATAGATAAGTTAGATGGTTTGGAGTTGCTCTTCCCGTTTATCCCCAATCTTAAAAGGTTAACCATAAATAGTTTCAAGAATCTCAAGTCCTTACCTGATAAGCTGCAGGACCTCAACTCTCTCAATGAATTATGTATAAGCAGTTGTCCAGGAATTGAGTCCATACCAGACGGTGGTTTGCCTCCGAACCTAAAATGTCTTAGAATTTCTTATTGCCTAGGGATTGAGTCCATTCCAGACTCTGGTTTTCTTCCAAACCTTAGAGATCTTATAATTAGCTATTGCCCAAGAATTGAGTCCATTTTAGACTCTGGTTTTCCTCCAAACCTAACATCTCTTCAAATTCGCAATTGCTCAGGAATTGAGTCCATTCCAGACTGTGGTTCTGCCCCAAACCTTGGAAAACTGATAATTGATTGCAAGAATCTGAAGAAGCCGATGCAAGAATGGGGCCTCAGCAGCATCACTTCGCTTCTAACTTTTGAGATTTGGTGGATATGTCCTCCAAATAATGTGCTTCCCACTTCTCTAACCAGTCTTATGGTGTGTAAAGTTGAAAATATGAAATCCATACCTAAAGGGCTCCTCCAAAACCTCAACTCTCTTCAACATTTAACAATTGGTGATTGGCCAAAGCTGCAGACGCTGCCAAAGGAAGCCCTCCCTGCCTCCCTTCAAAGCTTAAGTATTTGGGCATGCAACAACTTCCAGTCCTTGCCAAATAAAGTCTTGCCTCCCTCGCTTCAAAGGTTATACATTGCGTCTTGCGACAACTTCCGGTCCTTGCCGAAGGAAGGCCTGCCTCCCTCGCTTAAACTGCTCTATATTGGAAACTGCCCGCTGCTGCAACGACGATGCATGGAGGAGAAAGGAGACTATTGGCCCCTCATTGCTCACATCCCCTACGTTGATGTTTCGGTAAAACTTAGCTTTTCTCAAATTAATAAAAAATTTTAAGTTTTTTTGAGAATTAATTTAGGAACTTAAACTATTCTAACTTTTATCTTATTCATTCCTTTTAGAATTCTTGGTAGCCACAAAAGTTTTGGTATTTCTTACAAAAATACTCCATCATAATCATAATCCTTTGCAGTTCA